TCTGCTGCTGCCGATGTTGTCTCTGCTGCCGTTGATGTTGTCTGAATTGTTGCTAACGCCCTTGTTCTTTCTGCCTCAGGGATGGTGTGTGAATACCAGAAGCCTTCTGGACTGAAGTCTGGATCAAGGTCTGGAGGGTGGGTCCAGGAGGTGAAGGTGACGATGCCGTCACTGTCTGCTGTGCCGAGATCTGGGACAAAATCAAGAACGAAGACCTTGTTTTTTAGGATCACCTTTCCGATGTAGAGGCCGCCCTTCCCGTGGTACAGTTTGAACTCCTGGGTGGTGCTGTCTGCCTCAAGGTGAATGCCCTTCGCCATCAACTGACTGACGCTCAGTAAGTTGTAGTCGAGGCCTTCTGCGATTAAAACCTTAGACATCTGTAGAACGACATTTGTCTCTCGTGATTGAAGTTGTACCACGCCTTGTCGTCGTGTGCGCAGGTTCTGATTATTGGCGACGGTGATGACTACTTCGTGTTGAAGTTAATACTCTCGCTGCACGAAGCGTCCTGAAGAACACATGTGTTGTCCGCAGCAACTGTTCAAGAACCACGTGTCCTTCCCGGATGGCTCGCTTTGAGCGATGGCTGCGTATGTTGGGTTCGGCTGAAATGACTCGCGGCGAGGTTTGGTGTTGTCGAGTTGTTCTTCCGGTGAGTAGTGTGGCGGTGACTCGGTGATGCAGGAATCGGTCAATTTTGCCATGCAGCTAACAATGTTTCTTGCTTCTTGTGCAGGTTGTGTTGTTGACGGTTTCGACTGGCTCGTGGGGTTCGCCTGTGTTGATGCCACTTGGCTGCTGGAAGGTCGAAGCTGCCGTTGCGGTGGAGTTGACTGTTGTCGATTCGGGCAGTGCGTGCGCGGGTGTCCTGACGTCTTGCAGATGTGGCAAAATGGAGGTACGGGCTTCGGTTGTTGTTGTTTGTAATTGTTGTAGCGTCGCTGAGTGTGGAACGCAAATTCCAGTGCTGATATCTTCTTCTTGTGTCGTTCTTCTTGCAGGTCCATGTCTTGCTGCTCGGCATGGATTTCGGTGCAGAGTGCTGCTTCGGAGATTCTTCCGTGGGCTCGGAGAATGGCCTTTGTAGCGCGCCATTGAGGACCGAGGCCGCCGATGATGACTGTCACGAAGGCGTCTTCAGAAATCGACCCCCCGCATCGCAGAAGCTTGTCGCGCAACTCGCGACATCGGCTGATATACGCCATTCCTTTCTCGCCTGGTTTCATTTCGACCGTTGTCAGTTGCGCCATTAACCGACTTTGATTTACGCTGTCTGTTGCTTGATACAGGCTCTTCAAGTGGTTGTACGCGAGCTCCGCGGAGTTGCCGTAACCCCGGTAAGACCGTATGTTCTGCTGTTGAGTTGGGGTGATGTTCCTCAGTAGAATCGTGTACGCCATCATCGACTGATAGGTGTACTGCTGCTTCTCATACTGTGTGCCGTTCGTTGGGTATGGCAGGGATCCGTCGAAGAAGCCAAGTATCTGCGCGCCTTCCATCATTAATTCGAATTCAAACGACCAGGTGAAGAAATCCTTTCCATCGAAAGGCCTTGACGTCTGCATCTTCAGAACGTGCGCGAACTGCGACTGAACTTGTAGTGCGTCCAGTGACTTTTCTTGTCCAGGTGAGGGCTGCGGGTGTGGCATGAAGCTGATGGACCCGCGCTCGTACGGAGCAAATGTAGGCTGCTGGTGTTTTTCAGAAGTAGTAGGAGTACGGCCTAGGCTTAGTAGCCTAGGCCACAGTAGGACTAGTAACGAGGAGCCAAGTACGAGCTAGGAATGTGTGTAGGAGCAGAATTGAGAAGGAATGATTGAACTAGCAAGCAGCAGGATACAAATAGCAAACCCTAAGGGGCTGTACTCACTATAGAGTACCCCACTGCAGGCTACACAAACAACATATTCTGACACACCCCCATAGCCAAAGTGGGGTGTAATCAGCACAATGAGCAGTCATAGCAATAGTTCATAATTATCAGCAAAGCTAGAGGCTATCACAGAGGGCAAGTGAGGAGGAGGAGGGACTATGAAAGGAGAGAAGATGGGAGGCGACGACTGAAGCTGCAGACACACGGGCAACAGAAGCGGCTGACACAGTGGCGGCTGACACAGTGGCTACCGAGACAGAGCGCCCCGGAATACTGGAGTAACTGGCTCTGCGGCTACGACGAGCGGCAGAAGCAACGGACCCACGGGCGACTGGTGCAGCAGGCTCTCAGTGGCTACCGAGACAGTGCGTCCCGGAATACAGGAGTAACAGGCTCTGCGGCTGCGACGAGCGGCAGGAGCAACGGACCCACGGGCAACAGGTGCAGCAGGCTCTCTGAGCTACCAGGACAGTGCGCCCCGGACTACAGGTGCTGCGGACGACAAGACAGCAGCCTCCACTCAACCTCCCCCAACAGTCCCACACCCCTCTCACACACCCCCTGCTTCACCCCTAGCTCCACTCCCACATCACCCCCCTAGTGCCACTCCCCACGACTCCCACACCTCCACCCCCCTCAGCGGCAGCTGCAGCAGTGGGAGACGAAAAAGGAGGAGGGGAGAACCCACACCTCTCACCCCCATGCTCGCCACCCCACACCCCAGCCACCGCGGAACGCACGGTGGAATGGGAGCAATGGGCAGCACCGGGGGGGGGGGGGACGGGGCGGGCTTCTGCAGAGGCGGCTCGCGCGGGTCCTGGGGCGGCTGCTGCAGGTGCGGGCTGCTCCAGGGGCGGCTGCTGCAGGTGCGGGCTGCTCCAGGGGCGGCTGCTGCAGGTGCGGGCTGCTCCAGGGGCGGCTGCTGCAGGTGCGGGCTGCTCCAGGGGCGGCTGCTGCAGGTGCGGGCTGCTCCAGGGGCGGCTGCTGCAGTGGCGGGCGGCTCCAGGGGCTGCTGCTGCAGTGGCGGGCGGCTCCAGGGGCGGCCGCCGCAGTTGAAAGGCAGAAGGGGGGGGGGGGGAAACGCACGGCCCCCAGGGCGCCCCGAGGGGCGACGAGAAGGGAGCCGCGCGGCCCCCCCCCCGGGGCGCCGCGACGGGCACCAGGGAGGGCGCCGCGACGAGCCGCCTCGACGGGCGACGGGGAGGGTGCCGCGCGGGCCCCCCGAAGTCGCCTCGACGGGCGACGGGGAGGGCGCCGCGCGGGCCCCCCGAAGTCGCCTCGACGGGCGACGGGGAGGGCCGCGCACGGCCCCCGAAGTCGCCTCGACGGGCGACGGGAGGGGACCGCGCGCGGCCCCCGTGGTCGCCACGACGGGCGACTGGTGGGGAGGCCGCGCGGGCCCCCAAGGTCGCCTCGACGGGCGACGGGAGGGGAGGCCGCGCGGGTCCCCGAGAGCGCCTCGACGGGCGCTTCGACGGGAGGGGACCGCGGAGGCCCCCCCAAGGGCACCACGACGGGCGCCACGGAAGGGAAAACCGCCAGGCGCCCCGAGCGCGCGGCGGGCAGAAATTAGGGTTTCGCCGCCGCGCACCACGGGGCGCGCGGCGGACAGTACGGCAGCGGAAGCGGGTGGTGGGCCCATACACAGGAAGGCGGCAGACATGTCGCCCTCTGATACCATTTCAGAAGTAATAGGAGTACGGCCTAGGCTTAGTAGCCTAGGCCACAGTAGGACTAGTAACGAGGAGCCAAGTACGAGCTAGGAATGTGTGTAGGAACAGAATTGAGAAGGAATGATTGAACTAGCAAGCAGCAGGATACAAATAGCAAACCCTAAGGGGCTGTACTCACTATAGAGTACCCCACTGCAGGCTACACAAACAACATATTCTGACAGTGTTGATTTCCTCGTGCGTATGATGAGCCGTCGAGACTCATGGGAGTTGCTCCGTTGTTGTTGCTATTGTGTGACTGCGCAGGTACCGATTGCTGGTGTTGCTCGTAGAAGGACATGAAGGAGAAAAATTTCTCCATCATGCTCTGGTCGAAGTCTGTAGGTTGATTTGCAGGAATCTCAGTGGATGTTGCCCTGGGTCTTGTTGCCGTACCCTCCTCTGTCTGTAGGCCAGAGGCAGGAGGTGGAGTAGGAGTAGTGCCCTGGGAGCCGTTGGAGGAGCTCTTTTCCTTTTGTGTAGCCAAGCCATGCTTGTTGATGCTGTCGGTATTTTAATAGAAGTTGAATTCTCCCTGACAGCTCTCATACCATGTTGGGCTGAGAATAGCCCTTAGGATCTTTACAGGGATGAACTCTGGGTAGGACTGATGTAATAGCGGAAGCGTTTTAATGAAGGGATTGTGAACCACCTTGCGCTAGTATGTGAGGGCAAAGTAAGTTGATTAAAACAAAGAGATACAAGATTATATAGGAGTACAAGGAATATGAAAGGATACGGTTATAACTGTTTTGCGGTTCGATACAGTGACGACTCGGGCAACTGCTCTGTAGCGAGTCAGTTGTGTGTCCTTGCTGTCGCGCTGTACTTGTTAGGTCAAAGGTCGCTGACCTTTGACTTTCGCGTAACCTCCAGCAGTTACTTCAACCTCCGAGGGTTGACTCGCTGGTGCCTCGAGATGCTTTGCTTCGCTTGTGCCTTAATGTTTCGACACGACAGAGGCGCTTAACCACAATTGTTTCCAACATGTCTTAGGGGGTACAGATGTTAGGGTTTGTTATATGTACCCCAACCCACATCAATGAACCAACACTTCTGTTCTTGACAGAAACCATGTGTGCACTCTTAGCTGCTAATGCCGCACTTGCCGCTTGTACATATCGCACTTGCGCGGCACTAAGTGGGGCTTGTACATAGTGCGTGAGCTCTTCAATGTCACAATGCCGTGCCACATTTAATCTTCCATTTGTTGAAAAGAAGAACAAAGGCCATGCGTTTTGTAATTGTGTTTTCACTCCATATTGAAACACAAACTTCCGAAATCGGAAAAGCACGAACTCGTTCGGGTAAATAATCCCTGTGCGATTAGTTGTCGCGAACCGAAACGCGTCAACGGATGAAGTTCGTCTAGACTCTAGACTGTTACAGGCGCGCAGCGGCCGTCGCACGCCATGGACCGGAAGTTCGAGTCCCGGATAAAGGCGCTGGCGGTGGTGGCGACGGCAACGGCGGGGGTCCTGACGCTGTACGCCGATTACGGCGATTATGGTGGCAAGAAGACGGTCCTAGATGATGTGAGTCGCGTCGCGCGTCGATCGCCCTTCACTCCCTAGTAACGGCTTTCGAGACGGCGCCTGAAAAGTCCCTCCAGTCATCTTTGTTTCAAAGTCTCAAGTCCTCGAGTGGCGGCGGGGATCGCTGTGACGTATGGCGGCGATTGTGATGGCGACCGTCGTTGGCGATGCGAGTTGAGCTCCGCGGACGTCGTGTCACTGTATGCGCCGCGCGATGGGGTTGAGCACGAGCAGTGAGTGGTTGAGCCGAACACGGCACGTCCCTCCGCACCATCACTAAGACAGTCCCTCGGAGGCACGGTGGGTGGGGAATCGTGGGAGGTGAGACAGTCTGCCGCCGACGCGCACACAGGCGAGGCCGTTGGAGCAACCGGGGAGTGCTGGGCTGGACGCTTATGGGCAAGAGAGCGAAGGGAGGGCAGGGCGTGGCTTATGAGCGCGAGGCGAGCGAACAACACGAGCGCCTATTTTTGCACGTCTCAAAACTAGTTCTCATAACCCTCGCCCCTTCATCCCCTCCCTCCCCACCCCCCGTTCATTCCAGCCGTTCATTCCAGCCGTTCATTCCAGCCGTCCCTTCCAGCTGTGTGACCATCAGAGCGTTCGTGCCACGGCGACTCTCCTGCCGCTCCCCATGCCTCTTCTCGAGCCCTCTTCTCCCCAAGCCCCATTTACGTCCCCCTCCTTCCATCCCTCCTGCCGTCCCTCCTTCCATCCCTCCTGCCGTCCCTCCTTCCATCCCTCCTGCCGTCCCTCCTTCCATCCCTCCTGCCGTCCCTCCTTCCGTCCCTCCTGCCGTCCCGCCTGCCAGCTTTCCTGCCAGCTGCACAGGGCATCGCCGCATCGCAGCAAGGGAGCAGCGTGGTGGCTGAGAGAGGCCAAGGAGGAGGGGAGTCCTTTTGTGAGGCGATGGCAAGATCTGGACGTTCTCAAGGCCAAGCATGGAGGAGTCACCGAGCGATAGGGCCTCCCAGCACCCCTGGTGGAGGCCACACCATCCCTCATCTGCTGTTGCCCTTTTCCCCCTCCCACTTCTTCCCCTCCCCTCCTTCCCGAACCTCCCTGCCACTCATCCTTCCATCCGGTGTGGCAGGTTAAGGGAGCGTCAGCGCAAGTGAGGAAGTGGTTTCTGAGACCCAGCCAGGAGGAAGAGGAAGAGATTCGGAGGAGACTGGGTGGGGAGGAGAGGAAGTAGGCAAAGCACGAACCCAGTGTCTTATAATGTCCCAGTCTCCCATGGTGTTGAGTTGAGACTCTACAAGCACCGACTGTCGTCAAGCAACTCGCTAGGGGCTATTGGGTTCCGATGGAGCCTCCCATACATGGCAGAACTTATGCTAGTGCACAGCCAAGTGCGCGAGGTTTACGGTCCTGCCTGACGTCGTCTAATGTAGGACTCCCTTTGTGCAAGGCTGCAAGCACTATCCAAATGACACATTCTGCTTGTATGCCCACTGCTCTTGGGTGTGCACCTGTGTCATGATTCATTCTGCACTTTCTGAACAGAGCATGCTTATTCTGCATACACGCAGATCTACAATTGCAGGATTGCTTGCTGCAGATTATGCACCGCATTGACATTCGTTACAAGCATACTCGAGCTCCTAGTGAAGGCTCAACAAAATTGAAACCTCCTGCTTTCGCCCTGCAGTCTTCTGCAACGTAGGTATGTACCTACGCTGTTGTGCCGCCTTTAAGCAGCCCAGTGAGTTTGCTTGTTCGGCGGAGCAGTGTGCAGAACATACACCACCATACCGTATGCTCCACATGCCTCCCATGCTCGCTTCCCTGCCTGCTGTGATGGCCACATCCTTAGCTGCCCGACAGTGCTGGAGTGGCTTCGAGTGAGCAGCGGAGCAGTTGGACGAGTGGGTGGGTGTTGGTCAGTGGTGGTACTTCTCGCCCTTGAGAATGGTCCATGCCCTGCCAGCCAGCACAGCACACCAGGGGGAGTGAGGAACTGTGATGTGATGAGCATCAAGGCACGCACGCTGCTGTCGGCTCCATCGGCTCCATCACATACACACACGCTCCACCCCCCTCCTACCCCGCCCCTCTCCCTACGCACAACCCCCCCCCCCCCCCCTCCCCCCCCCCCCCCCCCCCCCCCCCCGCTGCTGTTGAGGAGAGAGGAGAGGCGCACACCGCTGTTGGCCCTGACCCCTACACACACACACTCCACCCCCACCCCTCCCCCACACGAACCCCTCAAACCCCTCTCCCATGCGCCACCCTCACCGGTACAGCTGCTCTGCCAGCACCACAAGTGCCACCTCGTGGTTGAGCACCAGCGAGGACAGGCGAATGCTGCTGTTGGCCCGAGCTGTCACCTGTGACCCGTGGCCGTAAGGACCCCCCACCACGAATGTCAGCGAGCGGTGCGACTGGTGGGAGAATGGGGGATCGGAGGGGCAGGGTGAGCAGGGTGGTGGGGGCGGGAGTGAGGAGGCATGTGGTTTCAGCAGCGCCGCACATGCCACCTGTTGGCCCTCGCTGTCACCTGTGACCCGTGGCCGTAGGGGCCCCCCACCACGAATGTCAGCGAGCGGTGTGACTGGGAGGATTTAATAGAAGAGGGTGGCCGAACAGTTGAGGGAAGGAAAATGATCAGGAGGGAGGCAGGGAGGGAGGGAGGAGTTGAAGGAAGGAGGCCAGAAAGGCGAGGTTTGCAGTGCAGCTGATGCACTGGGGTGCATGGATGGGCATGGGTGCATGGATGGGCATGGGTGCATGGATGGGCATGGGCGCATGGATGGACATGGATGGACATGGGTGGGCATAGGTGCATGGGTGGGCATAGGTGCATGGGTGGGCATAGGTGCATGGGTGGGCATAGGTGCATGGGTGGGCATAGGTGCATGGGTGGGCATAGGTGCATGGGTGGGCATAGGTGCATGGGTGGGCATAGGTGCACGGGTGGTGCATGCATGGCCGGACAGGCATCCGCAGGCAGTGACATGTCTCTCCCTTCACTGCACAGCACAGCACATCTCACCGCATCAGCGCAGTCAGCAATGAGCTGCGCCAGCTGCTCTGACGTCACCGTGCGGCCGCGCTCGTCCAGCAGCACCACCTGGCGGGGCGGGGGGAATGAGGAGCACCGCCAGGACAGGGGAAGGGGGGCGCGGCTGACGCTACAGATACCCACACTTTACGGTCACTCAAGCATTCAGGTTCCCTGTGCGGCCGCGCTCACCCAGCATTACCACGTGGCAAGGGGGGGGGATGGAGACGCAGGAGGGGATGGCGGAGCCAGAGGGAGGAGTTCAACATTGGAAGCGGAAGCGGGGGAGGGGGGCGGGTGGTACGCTTGCCCGTGCTGCCATGCACAGAAAGGGCGCGGGCAGGTTACAAGGCACGAAAAGTACCTATCCCTTGAGAATCACAACAAGCCTTTTAGAGCACAAACACAGCATGGTTACAAGGTGAAACAGTCACTAGCGGCTGTTGGTCGTTGGTCAAACATACACCCGTGGGACTAGTGGCTTTAGTGGTGAATGTTTGATCTCCTCCACCTGTCACAGCAGCCTCTGCACAAACCTTGTACCCACTTCAACCATAAACGATGGCCAATACAAAACAGCAACCAAGCACGAAGGAGCATATGTTGACACAGTTGAAGCAGCTCACCCAGTCATCGCGGTGTAGTGCCTTGAGAACCTTCTCGCCCTCCGCCTCCACCTGCACGCGCACGTCACTGCCTACCAGCAACAGGAGCAGCAGCAGTAGCAGTGGGAGCAGCAGCAGAAGCAGCAGCAGCAGTGGGAGCAGCAGCAAGGGAGAAGAGAAGGAAGAAGAGAAAATCGATACGGGAACAAATAAGGGCGACGGCGCAGAGTGGAGAACGGGAATATTGCTTCAAGCAGCTTCAGTGTGAGCGTGTGATTGGCATGCAGGACCAGGCATAGGGAAACCTTTCTGGAGTTTCACCTGCCCGTACCGAAACCACGCCTACCTGGTCCCTTTGGGGTTTGAGCGCACGGACAGGTCCTCAAACGGGCAGTATCGGGAAATCTTTTCCGCGCAGTCCTTTACTAGCAGCTGTGTGCCCTGAGAGCGGTGCCTGCCCACTGATATCACTCGCACTGGCAGGCGGCGCTGTGGATGGTGGGGAGACGGGAAGAGGGGGAGGGGGAAGAGGGGGGGAGGGTGGGTGGGGGAGATGCGGAAGAGGCAGGGGGGGAGGGTGGAGTCTTTGATTAACAGCTGTGTGCCCTGCGAGCCGTGCCGGCCCACATCACTCGCACTGGCAGGCGGCGCTGGGAAGGGGGGGAGACAGGGTGGGACCGTGGTGGGGTGTTGGGTTGTGGGAGATGCGGAAGAGGCAGGGACAGGGAGAGGCCGTGGTGCTTCACAAGCAGCTGTGTGCCCTGCGAGCCATGCCGCCGACCCACCGATATCACACGCACTGGCAGGCGGCTGGGAGGGGAAATGGGGTTGTGGGAGATGCGGAAGAGGCAGGGAGGGAGGGGAGAGGGCGGAGTCCGCTGCGTGCTGTGTGAGCTGTGCCTGCCCACCGCGATCACCCTGTGAGCTGTGCCTGCCCACCGCACTAGCGAGCACGAGCACTAGCGATCAGCACTGGGAGCGAAGGTGAGGGGGAAGTGGGGAGGAGGGGGCAGGGGGAGAGAAAGTGAGCGATGCCTGCGGCCTGCCCACCTATACCACGCACGCTGATGGGCAGCGCTGGGAAGTGGGAAGAAGGAGGGAGTGTAATGCAAGATGAGGGAGGGTCAGAGGAGAGAGGAGTGGGCGGAGGACAGGTCACAAGCAGCTGTGCGCCCTGCGAGGCACTCAGGTGTGTACCTGGCGATCGATGCCTGCCCCCTGATACCCCCCACACTGGCAGGCGGCGCGGGGAGGGGGGAAGAACGGGGGGTGTGTAACATGAAAGGGGAGAGGGGGTGCGGACGGAGGGTCAGGTCGCTAGCAGCTGTGAGAATGGCAGCGAGGAGGGAATGAAGGTCAGCGCGATGGAGAAGGGGTGAGGGTGGGGGGTGTGGGAGGGAAGGGGAGGAGCAGGCGCGCGTGGCGTGGCAGGGGGAGGAGGAGATTGTGGGGAGTGGATTGTAGAAGCAGGTATGCGTGGCACGGAGGCATGCATGGAGCGACTGGCGGGCGGACGGGAAGGCACGGAGAGGGAGCGGGGGCAGCAGATTGGTGAGGGTGGAAGGGAACAGTGGGCGGTAAGCGGGGTTTGGGGAGTTGATGTGGGACAGGGAGTGAGGGGAAGAAAGAGGAGCGAGGAGGGAACGCAGGTGACAGCAATGGGAAAGGGGGACTCGTGTGCAGATGGAATGTAATGGGAGATGTAGAAAGGGGAGGGCGAAAGGGGAGGTTGAAAAGACTAGATCATCCCCCCCTCACCAACGGACACCACTTCCCGCCACAGCCTCGCCAATCCTCGCCAGTTCCGCACAAGGTTCGCATTCCTGAGTAACGGGCATCGCCGCCGCCGCCGCCGCCGCGGCATGGGAAGAGCCGCGTGTCGACACGCCGGGGGACTGCGCTACACCCACTCACTATGGCCTGGCGGCATCGTATCGGAGCGTGCACCCGCGCAGTCGATCTGAGCGGCGCTACAGCCCACGACGACGGCGACGACTGCGACGACGGTACTGGTGGCACGCGTGGTACGACCAGCGACGACGGCCATGGCCGCAATTCGATCGCACGCAGGGTGGGTGCTGGTTCATGGGATTCGCACACGACGCGGGAGGTGGAATCTGCGGCCCCTGCGACGGGCAGCAGTCGCACGGCCATCCCAGTCGTGGCGATGCGGAAAGACTACTCTCGCCAAATCAAGACTTGAATGGAAAAATAGAGTAGTTTGGGATACGGGCTGAACACAATATCGGAATTTATTAAAGCCCAAGACCTGAATTACTCAACGGAAGTCAACGCTAAAAACTAGGTTCGGGAGGCAGGCACGGAGAGGTTCGGTTGGGTTGCGAGAGATTTTCACTCGCGAAACCAATTTGCGACAAAAGTATCTCGCTTCCCATGATGGTTGGTGCCCTTCCCACAACCAGAAAAGCGCGAGCTTATCAAACTGTGCACAGTTTGAGATAGCACGCAGAGTATTAGGCATAGACCATACCTGTAGACAGGGCAGGGCGTCGGCGTTCACTCAAAAGGGAGTAGATGCGCCATACGATTTGGGTGGCGCGGATTTGCAATGATGACGCGCAAAGCTAGTTTGCGCTGGGTGAAGATTATTGTGTCGAAATGCAGGTTATTGTGCAACTACTCCGTAGCGTAAACTCGTGGCGAAAATCGAATCGCAACCGTTCGCCCAAACGTGACCCTCCCCTCGCCCTCGCTTTCCTTTCCCACGCTTCCGCTCTCTTTCGCCCGCGTTGTCGCCATCGCTTCCGCAGCTCGTCGCGTGCCCGTCGCCTTCGCTCCGCCCGTCGCCTTCACTTCTCCCCCGTCGCCTTCACTCCCCCCCCTCTTCCGTTGCCTTCATTTCCCCCTCCCGTCGCCTTCACTTCCCCCTCCCGTCGCCTTCACTTCCCCCTCCCGTCGCCTTCAATTCCCCCTCCCGTCGCCTTCATTTCCCCATCCCGTCGCCTTCATTTCCCCCTCCCGTCGCCTTCACTTCCCCCTCTCGTCGCCTTCACTTCCCCTCCCGTCGCCTTCATTTCCCCCTCCCGTCGCCTTCATTTCCCCCTCCCGTCGCCTTCATTTCCCCCCCCCCGTCGCCCTCACTTCCCCCTCCCGTCGCCTTCACTTCTCCCCCCCGATGCCTTCGATTCCCCCTCCCGTCGCCTTCCACGCCTGCCGCACTCGCTTCCCCACCCGTCACCTTAACTTCCCCTCCCATTGCCTTTCACTCTCTCCTGCTCAATCTCTTTCCCCCTGCTCACTCTCTTCCCCCCTGCTCACTCTCTTTCCCCCTGCTCACTCTCTTCCCCCCTGCTCACTCTCTTCCCCCCTGCTCACTCGCTTCCCCCCTCCTCAATCTCTTTCCCCCTGCTCACTCTCTTCCCCCCTGCTCACTCTCTTCCCCCCTGCTCACTCTCTTCCCACTCTCTTCCCCCCTGCTCACTCTCTTCCCACTCTCTTCCCCCCTGCTCACTCTCTTCCCCCCTGCTCACTCTCTTCCCCCCTGCTCACTCTCTTCCCCCCTGCTCACTCGCTTCCCCCCTCCTCAATCTCTTTCCCCCTGCTCACTCGCTTCCCCCCTCCTCATTCTCTTTCCCTCTGCTCACTCCCCTTGTTCTAACCCCACTTTCCCCATTTCTCACCCATTTTCCCCCTTCACGCTCTCTTACCCCCTCTGCTCGCCCCTGTTTTCCCGACTCACGCCTATACTCACTCTCTCCCCCCCTGCTCACTCTCTTCCCCCCCTGCTCACTCTCTTTCCCCTTGCTTCCCCCCGTCCCCTTCCCTCCTTCCCCCGTCCCCCTCCCAGCATCCCCCCATCCGCTTCCCTGCTCACCCCCATCCCCTTCCCTGCTCCCCCCCATCCCCTTCCCTGCTCCCCCCCATCCCCTTCCCTGCTTCCCCCTATCCCCTTCCCTGCTTCCCCCCAACCCCTTCCCTGCTCCCCCCCATCCCCTTCCCTGCTTTCCCCCTTCCCCTTCCCTGCTTCCCCCCGTCCCCTTCCCTCCTTCCCCCGTCCCCCTCCCAGCATCCCCCCATCCGCTTCCCTGCTCACCCCCATCCCCTTCCCTGCTCCCCCCCATCCCCTTCCCTGCTCCCCCCCATCCCCTTCCCTGCTTCCCCCTATCTCCTTCCCTGCTTCCCCCCAACCCCTTCCCTGCTTCCCCCTATCTCCTTCCCTGCTCCCCCCCATCCCCTTCCCTGCTTCCCCCTATCTCCTTCCCTGCTTCCCCCCATCGCCTTCCCTGCTGACCCCTGCTCCCTCTGTTTCACCCCTGCTCCCTCTGTTTCACCCCTGCTCCCTCTGTTTCACCCCTGCTCCCTCTGTTTCACCCCTGCTCCCTCTGTTTCACCCCTGCTCCCTCTGTTTCACCCCTGCTCCCTCTGTTTCACCCCTGCTCCCTCTGTTTCACCCCTGCTCCCTCTGTTTCACCCCTGCTCCCTCTGTTTCACCCCTGCTCCCTCTGTTTCACCCCTGCTCCCTCTGTTTCACCCCTGCTCCCTCTGTTTCACCCCTGCTCCCTCTGTTTCACCCCTGCTCCCTCTGTTTCACCCTTGCTCCCTCCCCTTCTTCTCTGCTCACTCTCTTCCCCCTTGCTCACTCTCTTTACTTCTGCTCACTCTGTTCCCCCCTGCTTCTTCTCTTCCCCTCTGCTCATTCCGTTTACTGTCTTTCCCCCTTCACTCACCCCCATACCCCCCAATGCAGTTACAGGTGCTCAGCACCAGATGTGGCTTTACCACGGCCTGGTTTATTGCTTGCAGTGTAGCAGACAAAACCGGAAAGCAACATTACACATACACCCCCTAGCTTTGTTCCCTTCTCGAGTCTGGTGATTCCCCTTACTTTACAGATACGGTAATATATTAATTGTTGGAACTCCTTGGTATTGGTCATGTGTATGACTGCTCTGAGGCTCATAATCCTGTATTATAAAAAAAAATCCAATATATGGCATGGCTATACGTGTGTTACTATCAGACAGCCAGCACATGCACAACCAGATGCAGAGCAGACCTGTCCAAACACAAATCAAGAAGTCAGATGTGACGTGGCTGAAGTATAAGGGAAGCAAGCATGCAAAAGAATGACAACTGGCAAATGAGGAAGGGAGGAACGGAGGAAGGGAGGAAGTGAGGAATGCAGGAATGAAGGAAGGGAGGAAGTGATGATGGGAGGAAGGGAGGTAGGGAGGACGCTTGGGGGAGAAGCAGAAGGGAGGGGAGGAAGAGAGGCTGGGGAGGAGGGTGGGGAGGAGGGTGGGGAGGAGGGTGGGGAGGAGGCTGGGGAGGAGGGTGAGGAGGAGGGTGGGGAGGAGGGTGGGGAGGAGGGTGGGGAGGAGGGTGGGGAGGAGGGTGGGGAGGAGGTTGGGGAGGAGGCTGGGGAGGAGGCTGGGGAGGAGGGTGGGGAGGAGGCTGGAGAGGAGGGTGGGGAGGAGGCTGGAGAGGAGGGTGGGGAGGAGGCTGGGGAGGAGGCTGGGGTGGGGCGGAATGGGGTGGGGCAGAAAGGGGTGGGGCGGAATGGAGTGGGGCAGAAAGGGGTGGGGCGGAATGGGGTGGGGCGGGGCGGAATGGGGTGAGGCGGATTGGGGAGATGAGGGATGGGGAGATGAGGGATGAGGAGATGAGGGATGGGGAGGTGTGGGATGGGGAGGAGAGGGCTGGGGAGGAGAGGGATGGGGAGGTGAGGGATGAGGAGATGAGGGATGGGGAGATGAGGGAAGGGGAGATGAGGAATGGGGAGATGAGGGAAGGAGAGATGAGGAATGGGGAGATGAGGGAAGGGGTAATGAATGAACGTGTATGGGGTGCTGCTGACCACGCACCCTCCCACACCCCACGCGATGGGAAGGGATGAGAGGGTGGGCGGCATGGGTAGAGAAGCGATGGTGAAGAGGGGGAACGTGATGGGCAGGGGAGTGATGACGACGTGGAGAGAGGAGGAGAGAAGGGAGGTCGGCGGGAAGGCTAAGCGAGGACGATGGGAGGGCAAGCGTGGGTGACAGTGGCGGTGGGCGACGGTGGCGGTGGGCGACGGTGGCGGTGGGCGACGGTGGCGGTGGGCGACGGTGGGGAGAAGCGTGGGCGACGGTGGGGGGAAGCGTGGGCGACGGTGGGGGGAAGCGTGGGCGACGGTGGGGGGAAGCGTGGGCGACGGTGGGGGGAAGCGTGGGCGACGGTGGGGGGAAGCGTGGGTGACGGTGGGGGGAAGCGTGGGCGACGGTGGGGGGAAGCGGGGGCGACGGTGGGGGGAAGCGGGGGCGACGGTGGGGGGAAGCGTGGGCGACGGTGGGGGGAAGCGGGGGCGACGGTGGGGGGAAGCGGGGGCGACGGTGGAGGGAAGCGCGGGCGACGGTGGAGGGAAGCGCGGGCGACGGTGGGGGGAAGCGTGGGTGACGGTGGGGGGAAGCGTGGGCGACGGTGGGGGGAAGCGTGGGCGACGGTGGGGAAAGCGTGGGTGACGGTGCTCCGAAGCGTGGGCGACGGTGGGAGGAATCGTGGGCGATGAGAGGGGAAACGTGAGGGAAGGTGGGGAAAGGCGTGAGCGACGGTGTGGGGGAAGGCCGGAGGAAGCGTGAGCGGCGATAAGGGGAAGCGTGAGCGACGGTGGGGGAAAGCTTGGGCGACGGTGGGAAGAGTGGGCGTGTGCGTGGGGAGGTGTGTGAGAGACGGTGGGGAGAAGCGTGGGGGACGCGGAAGGCGATAGGTCCAAATGCGATGTTTGGGAAAGAGCTAGGAATAAAAGTGAAAATGCTCATGGCCTATGCTGTAGTGGCGTTTTATTCTATCTCTTCGCATACTCTAATCGCTTCGCGTACTATGGAAATCACACGACCTGAATTACCGAAGAAGGCAAACTGTGCACATTTTGAGCCCTTGTTCCTTCAGGAGGGTGTGGTTGGGACTCTCGCCAACCAAACCTGTTCTGCT